TAGCTTCAATGATTTCCTGTCCAAAACGTTTATTAAAAATTCGACCATTCGACCAGGGCAGTTCACGAAACTATAAGTTTCACTCTGTGGGATGTGACTGTTGCGATTCGGCGTTTTCGTCAATCTCATAGTCCTAGACCTGATGGCGTCCCAGTAAGCATTGTAAAAGCCGATGCAAAATACGATTTCCCCATCCCTCTCACTCAATAATATTGAATCTCGCCCTTGAAATTGAAACCTATCCTATCTTGTGGAAGGAATCACACATTTTGCCCATTCCTAAGCATGGCCAATCTACGTCGTTTGACGACTTTCAGCCAATAAACACCCTCACCGCGTTCTCGAAGTTCTTAACGACATTGATGTGTCACTTAACAGAAAATAACCCACTGCGTGTTGCACAGCATGGTTTCCTCAAAGCTCGGTCTTGTAACACCTGTCAGCTCTCCTTCTTTCACCATATTCTCCAATCTATGGACAATGATTTTGCACTTTACACAGTATGTTTCGATTTGACTAAGGCTTTTGATCGCGTTGACCATGCTCCTCTTCTCTTGAAACTCTCCTCCTTCGGAATAGGTGGAAAACTTCTGAATTTTATATCCTCTTACCTGAGCGCTCGTACACAGTCAGTTAAGATTTCCAATGCTATCTTCTACCCCACATGTGTGAGGAGTGAAATTGTAGCAGCCGCTCCAGCCGCCCTTTTCTCCGGCTCCGTTTTGTCGGTCGATGTCTGCGACAAGCACTGACAGGCCGCTGACACTCGACCACCCACACCGGCTAGAACTGGGGCCCCTCCTGTCCAGCTGCAGTGACTCCCGGCTGCCCTGACTACTAGTATCACCTCACGCGGGTCGGGCGCTCTGGCATGATACCCGTGAGGCCTTGTGAGTATGCGCCCTCCATTCCTCTTCTAATTTGTCCAATCGCACGACCACTACTCAGACAGTCACCCCCTCCTTCTGACCCAGACACTCAAACCCGCGTAAACAACACATCGCGATTGATGCTCTCCGTGAACGGACGCTTATTTCTGTTGCAAGCAAACAGCCAACTTACGGCAACCTGCCATGTGTAGAGAATAAACTAGTCCTCACATCTTCCTGACTTCTTACATTAGACGAAGCGAACTTAATGTGCGTGGTTTAAGTTGATCTGACGTCCTTGACCGCCACAAATTGCGACCTCGAATTTCCGAACACTGGAATTCCGCAAACTTTTCGTTCACAGCAACAATCTTCCGGCGACCTACAGCGCGATGTCACGAGACCAGAAGTCACTCACTAACCCAAATTCTAAAGGAGCTAACGTACGCTTAGATCGGCTCCAGGACGACATAATGCGCCTGAAAGCCCAACTCACTGCAGTTACCAATAACGGCCCGCGGCGAACGCCAAACCGTCAGCGTACGTCTGTAGCAGCCGCTCCAGTCCCCCCTTTCTCCGACTGCGTTTTGTCGGTCGATGGCCGTGACACAGCCACCCCCACCGGCTAACACTCAGACACCCCCGGTCCAACTTCAGTGACTGTCGGCTGACCTCACAAACTTTCATCAACTCACGCGCGTCTAACGCCCTGGCTTGATACCCATGAGGCATTGTGTGCATGCGCCCCTATTCCTCCCCTAATTTGTCCATTCACACGACCAACACTCAGCCAGTCACCTATCCTGCTGACCCAGACGCACACCCGCGTAAACAACACACACACCGCGACTGACGCTCGCCGTGAACGGACGCTTATCTCTGTTGCAAGCAAACAGCCAAATTACGGCAACCTGCCCTGTGTACAGAATAAACTAGTCCTCACAGCTCCCTGAATTCTGTCATTAGACGAAACGAACTTATTGTGCGTGGTTTAAGTTGATCTCACATCCTTGACCGCCACAAATTGGTGAGCCCTAATTTCCGAACACTGGAATTCCGCAAAAGTTTCGTCAACAACAATCTTCCGGCGACCTACAGCGCGATGTCACAAGACCAGAAGTCGCACATTAACCCAAATTCTCAAGGAGCTAGCATACGCTTGGATCGGCTCGAGGAGGTATTAATGCGCCTGAAAGTCCAGCTTACTGCAGTTACCACTAACGGCGCGCGGCGAACACCAAACCATCGCCCTACTTCCTCCGATTCCCACACCCGCCGTCCAAAATCTCCAAGTAGCGTCTGCTGGTATCACCAAAAATTTGGAGGAAGAGCTCGACGATGTCTTCAGCCATGCTCTTTCAAGGCATCTCTAACGGCCTCAGGGAGACAATTCCACCCGACAGTAGAGGTCACTGCTGCTGCAAGCGTTGCGAATCTCCACACTCGCCGTCTGTTTCTCTGGGACCGTATCGCTTGCGCCAAATTCCTTGTCGACTCTGATGCCGAGGTTAACGTGGTTCCACCAACTCCGGCCGAACGCAAAACCCGCAGCTCATTTTGTCTAACAGCTGCCAACAACTCCAGAATCTCCACTTTTGGACAGCGGTCCATCACACTTGATCTGGGCCTTCGTCGGGTTTTCCGATGGGTTTTCATTATTGCCGACGTTTCCGTCGCCGTCATAGGTGACGATTTCGTAGCCCACTTCAATATACTAGTAGATTTGGGGAATCACCGACTCATCGACTGCATTACCAACCTTCATGATCTTTGTCAATCCGATGTGAACCCCTGCGTCAACCCTCTCACTGTTATGCCCATTTCTGACTGTCCTTTCTACTCACTCCTCAGGCAGTTTCCCCGCCTGACCAACCCCTCATTTCGAGAAGTGGACATCAAGCACACAGTCACCCACCACATTTCCACCACTGGACTTCCCAAATCTTGCCGACCACGTCGTCTTGCTCCGGACCGTTTGAAGATTGCCAAGACAGAGTTCGAACACATGCTTGAGCTCGGCATCATCCGACAGTCCGACAGCTGCTGGGCATCACCCCTCCATCTTGTCCCAAAGAAGAGCGGTGACAAGCGACCGTGTGATGACTATCGGGCGTTGAGCTCAGTGACGGTTCCCGACCAGTATCCCGTCCCGCACTTCCAAAACTTAACTCTTTCGCTGCATGGTTAGCAGATATTCTCCAAGACTGACCTTGTTCGTGCCTACCACTAAATCCCAGTCGAGGTCAGTGATGTGCCGAAAACTGCAGTGACCACTCCCTTTGGGTTATTCGAATTCACTCGTATGCCCTTTGGACTGAGAAATACCACTCAAACCTTTCAGCGATTCATTGATCAGGTTCTGCGATGTCTGGACTTCGTCTACGCCTGCATTGATGATTTGCTGGTGGCTAGCTCTGACGCTGCAGGACACGAGGTTCATCTTCAACAGCTCTTCGAACGACTCGACTCCTTCAGCGTTGTAATCAATGTTGCTAAATGTGAGTTTGGAGCCCCCAGCCTAATCTTCCTGGGTCACGAAGTGAACTCAGATGGGATAAGCCCGTCCCAGAAAAGGTTTCGGCCATATCAACGTTCCCCGTTCAAACAACCAACTACGCCGCTTCTTGGGGATGGTGAACTACTTTCCCCGTTTTCTTCCCAATGGTGCCACCATACTGCAGCCCCTCAACAGCCTGTAGACGCACTCCAAGAAGACACTGGTGATGACCAAGGAGGCCGTCAAGGCCTTCAATGACGTCAAGGCCGCACTTGCGAGCGCAACACTACTAGCCCACCCCCGCGCTGATGCACATCTAACTCTCATGACAGATGCTTCCAGCACTGCCGTTGGTGCGTCACTGCAGCAAACTGTTGGTGGTATTCTACAGCCTTTGGCTTTCTTCTCGAAGAAGCTCAACCCGGCAGAGACCCGCTACAGTGTCTTCGGCCGAGAACTCCTCGCCGTCTACTTATCCATCCGGCACTTCCGACATTTCCTCGAGGGTCGCGAATTTGTTGTTCTAACAAATCACAAGTCACTCTTTTTTGCACTGAGGGCCTCTCCCGATCGATACTCGCCCCGTAAAATTCGTCATCTAGATTTCATCTCACAGTTTTCCTGCGACATCCAACATGTCCATGGTAAGGAAAATGTGGTTGCTGATGCTCTTTCAAGAAGCGAGATGGCTTCCATCAGAACTGACGCCACAGACTTCACACTCATGGCTGAGGCTCAGCGATCGGATGACGAGCTCTCCCAATACCGCCACGAGGACTCTTCTTTACGCCTTCGAGAAGTTCCCCTTCCCACTGGCACAGGCACCATCACGTGTGATCTTTCTACCGGACACGAACGTCCTATTGTCCCTGCAACTTTACGACGGCAAGTGTTCAGAGCTCTTCACAAGCTATCCCACCTTGGAGTCCGGACGACAGTGAAACTCATCACTGACCGATTCGTCTGGCCCAACATCCACCGGGATGTACGGCGTTGGACCCGATCCTGTCTACCATGTCAACGAGCCAAAACGCATCGGCATACTATTACTCCGCCAGGTACTTTCGCCACTCCTGATGCACGCTTCAGTCATGTGCACATTGACCTGGTAGGTCCGCTTCCACCGTCTGGCGGTTCTACCTGTATGCTGACATGCTTTGATCGCTTTACTCGGTGGCCGGTTGCTGCGCCCATTCCGGACATCAGTGCTGAAACCGTTGCGAAATCATTCCTGACTCATTGGGTGTCCAATTTTGGAGTTCCTGCGACTGTCACCACTGACCGCGGATCCCAATTCCAGTCCACGCTGTTTCGCGAACTCACATCCCACCGTTATACCCATTCCTGTACTATTTTCTCCTCTCTACCCGCTTTCCTATCTCTAAATCAAACCCATTAATTTGCAATTATCTAAAGCCTACATGAATTCCTTTCGGAAATATACTCACAAAACCAGCCTATCCCTATCACCGCATGCCTATTTACTTATTCATAATCATCTCGAAGCCAGACTCATTAATATACAATTATCGACGCCTTAACTGCTTTCATTTCAGAGATACTCTCGCTCTCTACTCGCCACGCCAATCACCCATTACTCTTTCCAATTATTCTTACATATCTCACTCTCAGTAGAATTCCTAAACCATTATCTCCAAACTACCTTCTTTCCATTTGGAGACTTAAAAGATATCCTCTCCCCATCGCAATCCAAAATTCCGCTTCCCCCTTTTTATTACGTATGTCGAATTCAGACCCATTACTATACCATTATATCGACCTTACCTGCATTCATTTCGAAGTTAAACTCGTCATACCATTTCCATCCCTCTCACCATCAGACTAATTCTTAAAAAATCATCTCCATCCTACACACGTTTCTTCGGAGATGGACTCACTAAAATCTTCCCATTCGCCACATCGCCTTACTCTTTCCACTTATTCTTACATATCTCGTTAAAAGACGCACTCCCATACCATTCTACCCTTCCTACCTGCTCCTTCTTCTGAGGTACATTAGCTTATATCTGCCCATCCCAAAATACGCATATCCTTATCCAATTTTCTTTACTTTTTCGCCGACAGATAAGTTACTATAATATTATCTCAACCCAACTTGCTTAAGTTCCGAAATAGTCCCGCTATCCGCTCCCCATCACACTTTAAATTTCTGCTTTCTGCTAACTCTGCTATATCTCGCCGTCAGACCCATTCCTGTCCCAATATCACTTCCTTACCTGAATTTTATTCAGAGAGAAATTCGCGATCCTGTCCCCATACCAATCAAATATTCCGCAAATAACTTATTCTTGTAAATCTCTCAGTTAGACCAATTCATATACAATTACATCCAAACTACATGCGTTTCCTACGGAGATACACTCGGTATTCTCTCCCAATCCCAACCAAATATTTGCTTTCCAATTATTCTTATTTCTCTCGCCGTCAGAGCACTTCGTAAACTACTAACTCCTCTCTACCTTTAATCCTATCGGAAAGAGTGTCGCCATCCACTCTCCATCCCACTAGCAATTCCGGTTTCCAGTCATTCTTATATAAGTTGCAGTGAGACCTATTCGTAAACCATTATCTCCGGCTTAACTGCTTAAATTTTCAAGATAATCTCGCTAATCCGCTCCACATCCCACTTAAATTCTCCACATTTCCATAATCTCATATATCTTGAGATCCAATTTTATAAAACTATCCCCTTCTACAAACAATCTATAGACAATCTTAGAGACGCACACCTCATTCCCCACATCTCAACATGCATTTTTACCTAGAAAGTCATTTCAGTCCTGACACCTTACATTTTGAAATCCGTTTCCTGCAATAACGATGATAGAAACACAGTAGACTCGATGTTCTTCGATCTGAAG